GCTGCTCAGCTTGGGCTGGACTCAAACCGCTGTTGCTCAGAGCTCAAACTCTTGAGCAAGCTCTTAACCAACTGAGCCACTTGGCCGGCCCCATGTTTGGGATTTTTTAATGGAGGATGGTGGGAATCAAATTGCTTAGAATTTAGATTCCATCTGATACACTTAAGAGAAGGCTGTAACAAATTTTATTTTAAAATGTCAATATTTGCCATATGCTAGAAGTCTCATCCTTTGAAATTTTAAAATACATGATGAACAAATTTAGATACCAACCTCAAAATGTACAAGATATAGCTTTTCAATATTCCTCTAGGATGTTATGAGACCAAAAATGTTTTGAGACCACCACTTTGTAAGGCCCAAATGTTTGCTTTTCACTCCTGTTCTGTGAGTTACTCCCAGGCCTTCCAGTAACTTCTCCTTCCTGCCAGAGTCAGGCATAGTCAATTTCTGTTGCTGACAAAGAGGCATGAATGCCTCATGATCCAATGGCCAGTTTGTGTTTTTAATTACTTGTTATAATGTGTAAAATGCAATCTTAGTAATGATGCCCCTTCCTTCCTTCACCGTGTGTGTGTGTGTGTGTGTGTGTGTGTGTGTGTGTGTATACTTGTGTCTCTCCTAATATATACCCAGTACTGTGCCTGGTGCTTGGGAGACATTAGTGCATAAAAAAAATATCCCTACCCCTGAGGAGGGGGCTGGGAATGCAGTGTGCTTAAGCATGTGCGTGCATTGTGGGCGTGCATGGGTGTGTGTGTGTGTGTGTGTATGGAGTCAGACAGTTTTTAAAAGGCATGACAAATATAATATATACATGCTATAGTTTATTACAAGTAACTGCTCTGGAAAAAGAAAAAGTCAAGCAGGATAGGCAAGTTTGGGTCTCCAGGAAGGAAAATGGATGGGGTGTGATTTCAAATAGATGGCTGAGTGTAGGCCTCCTTGAAAAAGTAGCATTTGTGTACAGACACAGCTGGTAAGAGAGTGAGTTTGCGGCTAAATGGAGAGAGCATTCCAGACAGAGGGGACAGCCTGTACCAAAGCCCCAGGGAAGAGCAAGAAGCAAACAGAGGGATAACAGGGATGGGGGTTGGGGGTGGGGG